CCGACCGTCCGACCGACCGACCGACCGACCAGTGTGCTGGGGCTACTGCTCTCTCTTCTGTCCTCCACTTCCACTACTTCTTCTTCTTCTTCTTCTTCTTCTTCTCGTACTGCCGCCTCTTCCTTCTCTTCTTCCTCGTCTTCTTCTTCCCTCGCCACTCGGTCTCGCTCCTTCTCGCTCCCTCTGCCCTCCCGACCGAAAGGTACCACCAACGCCTTTTGCGGGGCGAGTAACTGGATCGCTGGACCACGCGAGCTGCACGGCCAGCACGACGGGGCCTCGCGACCGCGGTACCACCGAACAACACCCGGGCTGTGCACGATCGTTAAACTCCGTGGAACGACAGCCGTGGGACCAATACGACTGGACTTTTAATACAGACGAGGTGGAGGTGTACCACGGCAACGATCGCGCGGCGTGAGCACAGGGAGAACGGTCGCGACAACCAAGATCAAGACAACGGCGGCGACGACCACGACGACGCTCACGGCGACAACGACGACGATGACGATGACGACGGCGACGACACCGTGATTATGAGCACCGCGACACGAAACCGTGACACCGACACCCACGGTCGAAAACACCACGCCGCTAAATTCTACTACAAGATGTCTGTCTGTCTGGCTCTCCGCGGCGCGCACACTGACGGCTCCGCGGCTACGTGACGGTCGCGCAGCCCTCCACGCGCAGCGATCATTCGAGACCGCTGATTGGCCGGCCCGCCACCAGCTGCCGCCACCCGCTCCTCGTTCGAAGGCGCCACTGACCCGCCGAGAATCGACGCTGTCCTTCGTAAAATCGTCCCGTTGGAATTTCGAATTTTTATCGTATACCATCCGCAACGCTCGCGCGCCTCCTTTTCTGCGGTTAGCTTCGCGCGAACGGATCGACCGGTGTAAACAGACGCATCGATCGGTCGAGTTAATTGGGTCAATAGGTCACTGACCGTTCCCGAAACGTTTGCATACCGACCAATCGAAATTATCTCCTCGCGGGACATGGAAACCGGAAATGCTTCTTTGTATCTCCCCCGGACGGTCTTTATGTCCTTCCGGATTTTTATGGTGAATTCACGTTGGAAAGCGCGGCAACGATATAAACGACGGTCGATAATGCAGCGGGTCCGAATGAGTAGCGCCAAATTCGAGTGACTATTTCGATGTTCTCTTTTATTAGACTCTTACATGCGATAAGTATGGCTGATACGCTGAGAATGTACGATGAAAGGAACTGTCTACTGTTAGAAGGTCAATTTCGGTCTTTTCTCCACATACGTCTTGATGCTTGGAATCGATAGAACCTTCTCCTTCAGCGACTTCAGGTGCGGTTTATCCGTCGTAATGTCGGACTCGTAGGCCGTGCTTAGCGCGTCCGAAATGGCCACGAAGAATAGGTCCGCGTAGCTCAACTAAATATTCAATATTTAGAACATGATAACGAGAACATTAACATTGAATTCCAAGCTCGTGTTAACCAGTTCTTAAGTGGTAGCTTAAGTCTCGTTTCAATTAGCAATGAAATTCCAACGTAAACGGTTCAATCAAAACGCTCACCTCTCCTCCATGCAAGTATCCCTCATTGTCCTTCACCAGATTCTCCAATTTGTCCAGGTAGAACGGTACCACCTGCGTGAACACGTCGGTCTTCTTCTTAGCCTTCAGCACCGGGTCGGTCTCCCTGTAGTAGGCCGATACAACGACTGCGAATCGAGGAAACATGTCGATTACCGAGGCGTCGCGGGATTTAGCGATTATTTGCAAAGTCGACAGAAAAGGAATCAATTTTCCCGGCCAGGGAATCAATATTTACGTCTCCTGAAGTCGTGAAGAGCGTTCGCGATGCTGTCGATTTGCAGGTTGTCCAAGTCGGTCTTCCCGCGCAGATTAAATTGCTTGGCCAGGTATTGGCAAATAGGCAACGTTTGCGAGTAAACCTTCCCGTCGATCTCCAGCGTGGGCATCTGACCGAACGGGGTCGCTGGAACAGCGTGAAAATCCCGGCACGCGTTTAAAAATTAATCCGTCGTACTCGAGAGCTGACTCTCGGTCACCAATTGATTCGACGCGATAAAATTGAACATTAAATATTAAATATTATACATGAAACATTGCACAACGCGTCGCTACGTGGAATACTGAAACAAAGTGGTGTTAACCGTTAATTCATGTGTGAATTATTCTTAAATTAGTATCAACGAACATCGTCCACATCTTGATTCTATTATCTGTATCTTTCAATTATTACTTGGCTTAATTTTGGCCCATTCGCCGGATGCAAGTTCGACGCGGACGTCCTCAAACTCCACGCCGCCGTAACTCAAGAGAAACCGTATGGGCTCTCCCAGGCCCATCACGTTGAAGTACACCAACTTGTATCCCGTCATCTTTGCCAATCTGGAAGACATGATACACTTAACTTTACCGATTTTCTGTATTGTCACTAGACAGTTTTAAGACCGCCGAGTGTACGCCGCACTCGAACTCACTGGAGGACAGAGCGAAGTAGATAGCGTTCACAGCACACTAACCGCTTTTCAGGGTTACGATAGAATTATATGTTTCCCCTACTCCTGAGGCGTGATTCCGTTCGTCTGCGTCCCGTCTGAATGGCTGTCTTTGTCCACGAACTAGTCCAAAGACCCCGATTGGTGCTGCACTCGGAAGAAACTCGCCGCTCCGACTACTTTCACCTCTGAACCTGATTCTCCTTCGAGAACCTGCGTCTCTCCGGCCGTAAGACATGTGTATATACGAGATAACTAAAATGTTTACCGAAGATTAAAGTTGTGCAAACAATACCGTGGCAATATCGCGTTCAGATCGATCATCGTCCCGCTGAAGTGAGCGGAATCTCGTCGATAGAGGCAGTGTTTCGATCGGCTAACCAATCTCTCCATCGAAATGCTTCGAGCACGTTCAATTAGAAACTTTTAATCGGATCCAGCGTATCGCGAGATTCGCTTGAAACGGAG